CCCCCCCCCCCTCCCAAAAAAAAAACAAGCTTCCTGATAAGTGTAATGCAGGGATTGCTTATTTGTATTTTTTTGGTGTTCTTAAGCAAATAGTAGGTTGCGAGGTTGATTTGGGAGGAGGGTTGGGCAAAGGCAAAGGCCACAAAGGCCGGAAGGGATCCAGACTTCGGGGGTTAGGGTTTAGGGTTTAGGGTTTAGGGTTTAGGGTTTAGGGTTTAGGGTTTAGGGTTTAGGGTTTAGGGTTTAGGGTGTAGGGTGTAGGGTTTAGGGTTTAGGGTTTAGGGAATCAGATTTTCGAAACCCTAAGCCCAGCACCCCGAACCCTAAGCTCAGGTCAGTTGCCTTGCAGAGAGTCTTCAGATCTGTGTGCTGAACGACGAGCCCGAGGACAGAGCCGACCCACCGGCTTGCGGATTGGAGGTCGCTTGTTGAGGGCGGTTCGGCACACAAAGCCTCCAGACCCGAAACCCCTCAACCCCAAATCACAAACCCCAAACTACACCCTAAACCCTATGCAGCCTAGAAAGCCTAGATCCTCAACCGAAGACCCACCCCAAACCCAGGATGCGACGCTGGAGGATGTGTCGGATCGGTGTCTGGTGGCAGCGGAGCGAACGAAGGTCCCAAGATTAGTGCTGGATTTAGGGTTTCGGGTTTCGGGTTTTGGCCTCAGCTTTCTCTCAGTGCAGGGTTTGGGGTTCAAAACCTGGGGTTTTCGGGGTTCGGGGTTTGGGGTTGAGGGCTTCAAAGCCTATGAGTAGGGTTCTCGAGTTTATCAAAGTCCGGAGAAAGAGTTTAGGGTTGAGGGCAGGGAGTTCAGGCACCAGGGTTTGGGGAATAGCTCCCCTAAACCCTCAGCCCTAAACCCTAAACCCTAAACTCGTCGGGTTTCTCAAGTAAACTTAGATTCGTGGAAACTCCCCATGTTGTGTTGAATGGAACTTTGGTCAACGCTCATTTTGATTGACGGGTATATGGGCTTTTAGGGTTTACGGAGGAAAGAGGTCTTAGTTGCATGAGAACCCTGCAGCGCCGAAGCTCAAAGCTTAGCCCTAACCCCGAACCCGAAACCCCAAACCCCAAACCACAACCCTAAAAACCCTAAAGCCGTACCTTTTTACTCCTAAGCGCAAGACATTGCACGCCAGGCGACTGCATGGGGCCCCGCAGCAGGGCCGCAAGAGAGCCCTCAAACCCTAAACCCTGAACCCTGAACCCTAAACGCTAAACCCTAAACCCTAAATTCTGGAATTCATGAAGTTTTAGGGTTTTGGAGCTCAGGGTCTGGGGTGTAAAGCTGAGACCGGCCATTTTTTAGCAAGTAGACGAATTCCTCAAGTCATGCTGTGATCTGTAGGTTGCTCCTAGGCAGATTCCTTGCGTGGCAGGGTTTTGCATAATTTTTAGGATTGAGGTTTTAGGTGCTTAGGGTGGTTTCGCGCTGCTAGAGTGAGGCGCTCGGGTGTTTTGAGATGGGTCTAGGGCACGGATGGGCAAGGAACATGGTGGGGTTTAGGCTTGTAAGGTTTTGGGCTTGGTTGATGTGGTTCTGGAGGTTTCTGCATTCATGTGCTCATGGGACTCATGGGTTTGGGGCTTTAGTTTTTTTGTTTAGGTTTAGGGTGTCTTGGGTTCAATTTGGGCTTTAGGGCTGTTTCTTGGTTGCAGCCTTGCCCTGCCCGGGATGCTCGACCACCTCAACCCTGAACCCTCGAAACCCCAAACCCCTCGACCCCCTAAACCCTTTAAATGGAAGGACCGAGTCGACGCAAGGTGGGTTTAGGGTTCCGGGTTACGGGGCTTGGGGGGCTGCGTTCGTGGAACCGATGGTCGCCCCGCAATGAGGTACCCCTAGACCCTAAACCCCAAACCAAAGAGTGGCCTTCCCCCAAAACCCCCTGAACCCTCGAAACCGCCGAGACCTTCGAAATCCCCGAAACCAATCCAAAACCCAAAAACCCCGAAACCCAAAACCCAAAACCCAAAACCCCCAAAACCCTAAACCCCCAACCACCTAAACCCCCAACCCCCAATCACCCAAACAACCGTCCTAAACCCTAAACCCTAAACCCTAAGCCCTAAGCCCTAAACCCTAAACCCTAAACCCTAAACCCTAAACCCTAAACCCTAAACCCTAAACCCTAAACCCTAAACCCTAAACCCCAAGCCCCAAGGCCCAAGCCCCAAACCCTGAACCCAAAACCCTAAACCCTAGCGCCTAAACCCTAAACCCTAAACCCCAAACCCTAAACCCTAAACCCTTCTCAGGAGCTCCGGCGCCTCAGCGGGGAGCTCGCTGGCAGCACGTCACGTCTGGCACCCCAAGGTGTTCGAAAAGGGTCTCGTGATGTTCGGTTTAGGGTTTAGGGTTTAGGGTTTTGGCGTTTAGGGTTTAGGGGTTTAGGGTTTAGGGTTTTGGGGTTTAGGGTTTAGGGTTTAGGGTTTGGGGTTTAGGGTTTAGGGTTTTGGGGTTTAGGGTTTGGGGTTTAGGGTTTAGGGTTTCGGTTTAGGAATCAGGGGCCTCAAAGCAAGAAAGTCTCAACCCAAACGGCCTCCAGCCCTTGCAAGCCTGGGTGCTCCCGGGTGTGCGGCCGGTCGGCTTCTGAAGACCTAAACCCGAACCACCCCGAGTCCTAAAGCCTCTCAATGTCAATGAAGACTACAAGCCCCGAAGCCTTTCACCCTAAATCCGAAACCCTAAACCCTGAACCCTAAACCCTAAACCCCAAACCTTGAACCCTAAACCCTAAACCCTGAACCCTGAACCCTAAACCCTACTCACCGAAAGAAAGCCCCAGGCCGAAACCACTATAAAGCACACCCTACGTGCTCGGAATGTTGACACCCCTATGAACCCTGAACCGCCAACTCGCCTCACCCTGGACCTGGGACCAGGGTTTAGGGTTTAGGCTAGAGGGTTGAGGGTTTAGGGTTGACGGTTTAGGGTCCAAGGTTTAGGGTTTTTTAGAATACTGCAAGTCCAGACCCAAAGCCCTGTAAACCCTACAGCAATACATTGTTGCAACCGGACTTGTTGCGTGCCTGCTAAGTTCTCAGAGTCTTCAAGCACCCTAAAACCATGAACCACACACCCAATGCCCCCCCCCCCCCCCCAAAAAAAAAAGCCCTAAACCCTAAACCCTAAACCCTAAACACTATACCACGGAGGGACTTTGCCAGCTCTGGCCGAAGCTTCGGCGCAGCTTGCCGCCGTGGCCACAGGACTGCGGCAGGCGGGCGTGGGCTTGTTTAAACCAGGGTTGAGGCCTAAAGGGTTTAGGGTTTAGGGTTTAGGGTTTAGGGTTTAGGGTTTAGGGTTTAGGGTTTAGGGTTAGGGATCCGGTTTCAGGGCTTTGGGGTTTAGGGATCCGGGTTCAGTGTCTAGGGAATGTTTTCCGCTCAGCCCAAAGAAAGCCTCATCCATTTTTGGCGACAGATGTCAGGCTGGGGTCTTGGTTGGGCTTTCAGCGTTTAGGGTTTAGGGTTTAGGGTTTGGGCTTCGGGATTAGGACTCAGAGGTCTAGGAGTTTAGGGCTTTTGGTGTCTAGGGAAATGCCCTATCCAACAAGCTTCGGTTTTAGTGTTCTGGGGTTTCTAGGTGGGATTCCAGGTGGATAGGTACAGCTTCCTCAAGGTTCCTGTTCCTTAGGTGCACTTGTCAGGGACGCTCGTTGGGGGGCATGGCCATACTATCTTAAATCCCTGAACCCTAAAGCCTTAGCCCCTAAACCCTAAACCTTACTCCCGAAACCATAAACCCGCAAACGCCCTTAGCCACAGAGGGCCCAGAAGAATCATGCCGACTCTGAACGCGCCCCAGATGACAAAGTCTTCGAACGACTTGCCAAGGCCCGTAGTAAAACGTAAGACCCTAACCCAAAACCCTAAACCCCATAAACCCTAAGCCCTAAGCCCTAAACCCTAAACCCTAAACCCGATAACCCTAAACCCGATAACCCCAACCCCCATACCCCTTAAACTTGAAAACCCAAAGCTACAAAGTCGGCAGGATCAGGCTCGGGGGGGCGGGGCGGGGGGGTGGGGTTTGGGGGTTAGGGGGTTAGGGGTTTAGGGGTTTAGGGGTTTAGGGGTTCAGGGGTTTAGGGGTTTAGGGGTTTAGGGGTTTAGGGGTTTAGGGGTTCAGGGGTTCAGGGGTTTAGGGGTTTAGGGGTTTAGGGGTTTAGGGGTTTAGGGGTTTAGGGGTTTAGGGGTTTAGGGGTTTAGGGGTTTAGGGGTTTATGAAGCGGTCGTCGGACGATCCAGGCGAGACAGACGCACGGATCCCTGCTCCAAGCTCTCTCCTCGTTGAGTTAATTATGAATTACGGGCCAGTCTACGCCGAGCGTAATACCGAGCCCACGTGACCTTGGGACTAACAAAAGGTGTTGGACAATCAACAGGATCTCGGGGAGGCTGAAAGGGAATAGCCAGCGCCCGACTGTACCGTCTGTGTGCCCAAAAAATATCTGACAGCTTCCCGACATCAGCCCGCTTAGGGGCTTGGGGGTTTGGGGGTTTGGGGGGTTTGGGGGGTTTGGGGGGTTTGGGGGGTTTGGGGGTTTGGGGGTTTAGGGGTTTAGGGGTTTAGGGGTTTGGGGTTTGGGGTGTAGGGGTTTGGGGTTTAGGGTTTAGGGTGAAGCGTTTAGGGTTTAGGGTTTGGGTCCAGTGATCTGGGATCCCCCGTGGTGCCCTTGTTGCCTTTCGTTACGGTCAGGTTCACCGTTTTCCAGCCCTTGGGCCAAAAACATGAAAAGTTCCCTTTCGTACTCCCAGGTTGCCTCCGCAATTGCAGTTTAGGGTTTAGGGTTTGAGGTTTGGGGATTTTGGCCTTGCTGCAGGGCTTTCAGGTTTTTTTGTGTTATTTCAGATGAGGGCTCTCGGGTTCACGGTCTGGGGTCTACTCCTGCAGGGCTTTGCCGAAGTCCTCCGCCAAAGGAGCCTGGCGTGGGCGTGTCGCTCCCTTCTACGGAGCCGCCACCGCCACCGCAAGGTGGCATGCTAAGCCCACTAAACTTTGTCATAGTGGGGTAACCTTTTACAGTACATTTTCAAGGGCACTAAAACCCATAAAGAATATGCAATTAAATTTCTAATACGATCTCAACCAAATGAACTAGTAAACCCCAAAACATGTGAACCTTTCAGACGTGATAGTGCCCCCCAAGTCTGTGTTCTTGTGGGTCGAGCCCAGTATTGCCCTATAGATAAGCTAACGCGCTGGTAAGATGCCTAAGAACTGGTGCTGCCTGCAACGTCAGCATGGTGGCTTGTTCCCGGTTGGAAAGGGTCCGGGGGTTTTGGGATTCGGGCAAACCTCAAAAAACCCCTGCACTTGAGTAGTGACGTCCGGAACCTCCCTAAACCCGAAACCTGGGTTCTTGTTGAGGAGTTTACATTACGTTAATTACATTAGCATAGCTACCCTGACACGAACTGTATATCATCAGTATGGTAACTTGGTTCATGTTTCTTAGCAAAGAGCTGGCTCGGCCTTCCACCCTAAACGCTAAACCCTCAACCCCCTTGCTTGAAGAATCTCCGAAAGGTCGGAGGGGGAATGCTTGAACTGGCTTGAACTACGGCCCTCAGCTCTAGTGACTACGGCCCTCAGCTCTAAGCATAAAATCCCTAAACCCTAAAGAGCCCTCAAACCCCAAGCAGCCTTCATCAAAAAGGCCATAAAGTCCTAAACAGCCTGAATAGCCACGACTTGCTGGGACCCTCAAGTCCTTCGACCCTAGGCCGCAGGCCCCAAAATGCCCCAGACAATGCAGCAGCTCCCTAGTACTCACCTTATGCATATTTGGCCCTAGAATCTTTGTACTCGGAGTTCTTGCTGAGGACTTTAAGTTAGGTTACCATCGTAGGGAACCCACAGGACAGATGGAGCTGCTTTAGTACATCATATAGTACCCCACCCCTTGATGGTAACCTACTTTAAGTACTCCTTGACACGGCAATCTCCTGGGTTTAGGTTGTAGGGGTATGCAGACAGACAGAGCGAGCGAGAGAGAGAGAGAGAGAGAACGCAAAAGAGCGGGGAGAGAGAGAGCTGCCATGGCATCGTTGGAACTGTTGGAGTTGGTGTTCTCCTTAATTGCTGCAGGGCAAAGTGAAGCCCTTGTTCCATGTCAGTGGGGCAGGCTCCAACAACACGCCCTACGATTACACCAAAAGCTCCCTGGAAAAAACCTCGAACGCCAAAACAACCCTAAACCCTAAACCCTGGCCTAAGGCCGAAGGCCCTAAGGCCCAACAAGGCCCTCAAGGCCTTTAGGGCCTTGAGGCCCCAAGGCCCCAAGGCCCCAAGGCCCTAAGGCCCTGAGTCCCTAAACCCTAAGACCCTAGACCCGAAGCCTTAGACCCGTAAACCCAGTAATGTCACCCGGAGCAGCCCTGTGAGGTCCCATGACAGCCACACCGGCCACCTATGCCCAGCTGCTTCGTCAGGCCCTGGGGATTAGATCTTCCGGGCAGGACTTCAGGGGGTTTCAGTTTTTTTTTTTTTTTTTTTGTTAAGTGGCTTTTGGGGTGTGAGACCATGGGGCTTGGGTATAAACGACTGCAGTTTTAGAACTTTTGAAGTGAGATGTTCAGGCTTTGAGGGGCTTAGGGGGTGGGGTTTAGGGAGGGGCTACTTGAAGGTTCACGGGTACTTATGAGTAGGGATATAGGTGCCCTAGAGAAGGGTATGACCAGAGTTGCCCTGCTGATACCCACACTTGTACTTACTTGGTGTATTTTGGGATGCCAAGGCCAGGGTGCTGGGAAACAAGGCAGGGTCAAGAGTGGTTCGAGGTAGTCCCATGGTCGGGAGCTTCGCGTGTTTAGAGTTCGGGATGGAGTGTGAAGGGTTTAGGGTTTAGGGGTTTAGGGATATTGGTTAGGGCCTAAACCCTAAACCCTAAACCCTAAACCCTAAACCCTAAACCCTAAACCCTAAACCCTAAACCCTAAACCCTAAACCCTAAACCCTAAACCCTAAACCCTAAACCCTAAACCCTAAACCCTAAACCCTAACATGTTCTGTTGCAGAAGGCCTAAACCCTGAACACACTTTTGACTTGGCCGTCTCACTAATTTTACCCTAAGCCCTAACCCCTAAGCCAGAAACCCTAAGCCCTAAATCCGAACCCTACACCCTACACCCTCCCACCCTACACCCTACACCCTAAACCCTAAAACCTAAACCCTAAACCCTAAACCCTAAACCCTAAACCCGAAACCCGAAACCCGAAACCCAAAACCCAAAACCCTAAACCCTAAACCCTAAACCCTCATGTAGCCATGGATCTTGCCAGGGCAGTCCGTTGGGGGTTCCCATGCTGTCCATCCCGACTCTGACCCCGCAGTTCCCTTCGGGGGTGCACTCTTCGAGGAACCCTCAGAGCTTAGGGGGTTTAGGGGTTTTAGGATTTTTTCTGTTGAGGGTGTGGAGTTTATGAGTTTGGGGGCTTTAGGGGTTTCAGGGGATTTGGGGGTTTTAGGGACTTGTATTGGGGTTTCGAGGGTTCGGATATAGGGTGGGTGGCCGCGAAGCTCTCAACAGCTTACGAAGGTAGTCGCAGAGCCTCAAGCCTTATACTGTGAGTCCATCTAAACCTCCCGAACACTCCCTGAGAAGCTCTTCTCTAAGCCCTAAATCCGGACCGGAAACACTAAAACCCTAAAACCCCTAAAGCCCTAAAGCCCGAGAACCTAACACCCTAAAACCCTCTAACCCCAAAGCCCCTAAAGCCCCTGAAGCCCCTGAAGCCCCTGAAGCCCCTAAAGCTCCTAAAGCTCCTAAAGCTCCTAAAGCCCCTCAAGCCCCTAAAGCCCTAAAACCCCAAAACCTCAAAACCTCCAAAACCCTGAAACCCAAAGATCCTTCAACCATAGACCCCCAAGCCCCTAAAGATCTAAAACCTCAACGCCCTAAAGCCCTAAAGCCCCCAAAGCCCCCGAAGATCCTAAGACTTAAGCCCCCAGAGCCCTGAAGCCCTAAAACCTTAGGAATGAAAGCCCGAACCCTACACTTAGCCTTTTCCGTAAAACGAACTTCATGAATTAAATTCAAGAAATGAATTAAGTGAATTAAATGAATTGACTGGTGAATTCATTTCATAATCCAGCAAGCTAATGGGATTTATTACATGAGTTATTTTAAATGGTGAATCAATTGCGTGAATAAAGTTCAGCAAAGTATTTAGGTTAACTACATGAAATATTAATTGATTTATGTACTTTACGAATTTAGCTATTTAAGGCATCTAGCCAAACACTTAGTGGCCAGTAGACAACACGTTTGAATAGACAGTGGAAAGAATCCCAAAAGCCCGGACTCCCTAAAGCCCTGGAAGCCCTAGAGCCCTAAACCCTAGACCCCGAAACCCTAAACCCCAAAACCCCCAGGTGGATCAACTGCAAGGCTACATGCATGGAGGGTTTGGGGAGGGTTTCGCGGGGAAGCTCAGGCGAGGTTCAGGGGAGGTTTAGGGTTTAGGGTTTAGGGGTTTTTCGTTTAGGGGTTTAGGGACTTAGGGGTTTAGGGGTATAGCGATTTTGGGTTTAGGAGTTAGGGGTGTAGTAGAGGGTCTCGGGTTATGGAGGGGATTTAGGGGCTTCAGGGGGTCTGGAAGATTTGGGAGGTTTTGGCCAAGGGGGTGGAGTTGTGAGGGTGGAGACTGTTGGGTGGCGAGTCTAGGGCAGCACCCTCCCTAAACCCCGAGCCCTGCTCAACGCGTGTGAAGATATTTGGAGTTTAGGGTTTAGGGTTTAGGGTTTAGGGTTTAGGGTTATAAGCCCTGATCCCCAAGCCGCGAACATGGGTTTCAGGGTCTGGGTTACGCTCTTGCGCTCTTGTTCACAAAGTGCTGCTCCACATGTCAGATCGACCCTGAATCCCCAAAACCCTAGCCGAAACCCTTGAAAGCCCCAAAGAACTAAACCCTAGGACCGTCAAGCCCCAAAACCCTGAAACCCCAAAACCCCAGCAAGTCCAAACCGTCTGACCGCAAACGCCTAGAATCGACCACGCCAGAAGGAGCTTCATGGTACTTATTGCAAGCCCCTAAGTACAGTTGTAAGTACAGTTATACTTGGTTCACAAGTACAGCCATAAGTCCAGTTTTTAAGTGCACTTATAGGTGCACGTATAATTGGTGAATAAGTACCATGAACCTCCAAGCAGAAGGTGCTCTGGCGCGGGAGAAGCTCATCAGCTCATCCCTGAAGGCAGCTTCCGTGGCCTTGTACTTTGGGTGTTCACTACAAAGAATGTTCCCTTCTATAGTCCCTATATTTAGTAGCAATATCATCACCCCCCCAAAGCCTTATTCTTATTTAGATTCAAGTTTTTCAGGGCTTTGGCAGGCTTCGGAATAGGGGTGGCTTGGCTGTTGGCCCGTGCGCTCATGATGCTGGCTCGGCCGAAAGGGGGCTGCTGAATGGGCTGCGTACATGTCGGTGCTTTTCGAGAGGCCCTGCGCCTTTTTTCAAATACCCAAGATCACCCCCTAAACCCTAAACCCTAAACCCTGAACCCTGAACCCTAAACCCTAAACCCTAAACCCTAAACCCTAAACCCCAAGATCCTTGCACCATCCCCTTTTCCACCGAAAGCCCAAGGCCCCGACCCCAAAACCCCTGGAGGTTCCATTAGGGTTTAGGGTTTAGGGTTTAGGGTTTAGGGTTTAGGGTTTAGGGTTTAGGGTTTAGGGTTTAGGGGTTTAGGGTTTAGGGGTTTAGGGTCTAGGGGTTTCGGGCTATAGGGGTTTAGGGCTTATTGATTCCCGAACTCTTGAACCCTACACCCTAAACCCTAAACCCTAAACCCTAAACCCTAAACCCTAAACCCTAAACCCTAAACCCTAAACCCTAAACCCTAAACCCTAAACCCTAAACCCTAAACCCTAAACCCTAAACCCTAAACCCTAAACCCTAAACCCGAACGACGACTGGGCAGGCCGAGATCGAGGCCACGCGTGCTTTGCGCGGCACCGGCCTGCTGATCTCCTGACGAGGCTTTGTGGGCCAAAACCCTACCCCACTTGTAGGTACCCATCTACGGTTTAGGGTTTAGGGTTTAGGATTTAGGGTTTAGGGTTTAGGGTTTAGGGTTTAGGGCTACTTGAAGGTTCATGGGTACCTACAAGTGGGGTGATAAGTACCCGAAATAAGGTTACATCCAGAGTTACCCTGCTTATGACCCTGCTTATTCTAAGTACCCATGAACCTCCAAGTAAACCCTACATGAACACGGTAAGCCCTATTTCCGAGCTTCCTAAAATGCTAATCCTCGCCCTTTGGGCGGCTTTCAGGCTCCCAGGCTTCGCAAGTGCAGCACTTGGCCTTTTCAAGGCCTAAGGTTTCAGGCTTGGGGTTTTAGGGCTTGGTTGTGCAGGGTGCAGGGTTTAGGGTTTAGGGTTTAGGTTTAGGGTTTGGGTTTCAGGCTTGGGGTTTGAGATTCGCTGAAAGGGGGGGGGGGCTTGTAGAGGCTCTCGGTACTTAAAAGACGAAGCTCGGGTGCAGCGTTTACATGGTCGATGTCCTTTTTGGATCCGAGCTCTGCGCACAGAGCTCCAACTTTAGGGCCTAGGGTTTAGGGGTAGAGCTTCTGGGGTTAGCCAAGCCCAACGGGCTAATGGTTCAGGGTTCAGGGTTCAGGGTTTAGGGTTTACAGTTTGGGGTTTAGGGTTTAGGGTTTAGGGTTTAGGGTTTAAGGTTTAGGGTTTAGGGGTTTTATGGTGAAACCCTGCACTTCAAGCAGTACCTTTAGGATGTTGATGCGCGGAGAACATCTCGACGGCGCCGCCGGAAGACTGTCGTGGACAGGCCCCCTTCCCTCAACCCTAAACCCTAAACCCTAAACCCTAAACCCTAAACCCTAAACCCTAAACCCTCAACCCTCAACCCTCAACCCTCAACCCTAGACCCGAAACCCCAAACCCTAGACCTGCCAGATGGACGCAAAAAGCACCACCTGACCAAGACGAGGGGGCTCGCACGTCCCGTGCCATCGACATGGAGGCTTGCGTTTTGCGATTCAGGGTTTAGGGTTTAGTGTAGGGTTTCGGGCTTTAGGGTTTAGGGTTTAAGGTTTAGGGTGCGGGTTTTATGTCTCGATGGTGATGCTGGTGTCTGCGGGGCTTCTGGTTTTTGGTCATGGCTCTGTTTTGAGAGCCTTGGGTTTACGGCTGAAAGGAGGAACCCAGGAATCAAGAGGGTGCAGCCTTCTTGGGCTGCATTGGGGACGTTTAGGCTTTCTATTTCTGAATCGATTATTTCCCCACCTTCCGTGCGTGGTTGCTAGATTTCAAGTCAATCCTGCTCCTTGCCTCCTCGCCACCAGTAGCAAGATTCCTGTTCGGAGGTAAATGCTCGCAGGTGGGATCGAGTGACATCCCGCTTCAGTGTTGCAGCAACGTTGCACTTCAGATGACGGCTTGCCTGGAGCCGGAGGAGTTGCTGAGCGCTGCCGGCGACTCCCAAAGGCTCTGTGGACATCCCCGGTTTCGACAACTGTTCCTGCAAGAAGAAGGAAATTCTGGATTTTGACGAGACCCCTGGCGAACAAAGCAGACAAGGCAACATAACCAGAAACGATCTTGCAGCGAACCCAAGATCCAAACCTATCGGCGCAACGCAACATGACAGCCTTACAAGCCTTGCATGTTGCAGCGAGCTCTGGCAGAAAGGTCGCCACAGGTTTGCTGCTCGAATCGGGTGCTGCAACCGGTGCCAGCTCCGAAGTTCCCAGAGAGTCCCGAGAATCCCGCAAAAAGCCCGCCAATTATCCATGGAGCACCCACCCACGGAGGAGCCCGCGAGACTTTCGCCGAGTATTCCTGGAGTGCCCACCTTCCGAGAATTCCGCGGAGACTCCGCGACGGAAGCCGGCCTGTCTGAACCCGCAACTACCTATCCGAATGTGCTAGGGTGGCTCCCACATCAGGTAGCTGCTGTAGAGTGACGGAGATGATTGCTGTGGGTTTGTTGGGTTTCAAAATTCACCATGCTCATGGAGTGCCCAGCCCCCAGAGAAGCCCGCAGGGAGGTGGGCCGAGTTTGCTAGTGCCAGAGGAGCCCGGACAGAGTTTGCGGAGTATCATTCAAGTAGCGCCCGCTCTCCTTGGAGTGCCCAGCCCCAGAGAAGCCCGATGAGATCCTTGGAGTGCCCAGCGTAGCCTGCACAGAGTACCGCCGAGTATCCTTGCAGAAACGGGCAGAGAGTCCCACCGAGTATCCTTGGAGTGCCCAGTCCTGCAGAGAGTCTCGTCGAAATGGCGCAGGAATGGGGACCCTCAAGAAAACATCCTCCCTTAGACAGACATGATGCTGCATAGAGATTTTAGGGGCTTAAGGTTTTGGCGCATCGGGGGACGGGGGGGTTGAAGGGTTGACACGGTTCAGGGGTCGCAGCGACAAACTCTGCAGGTGAACGACGGCGACGGACACACTTTGTCCCGTTGGAGCATGGTGAGTGGACCATGCAGAGGCAGCTGCCCTGGGTTTTGCATCCGACACCCTTAGCCCCGAAACTTTGTGCCCCAAGAACTTTCGGAAAGTCGGAGACCGGCTATCGGTTTCACCCATCCACGCAGATTTTCCATGGCGGCCAGTGGGCCAGAAAGGCTTTGTTGTGCAAGCTACTTGAGGCCCCCAGACCGAGACTTAGAACACCAGAATTTTCTCTTCAGAAATTATGCTTGGTTTTCGTTTATGAACCCTCAAATCAAAAGAATATTAAGACAGAATGATCATGATTCTCATTGTTAGGCTGTCAAGGGGTATAGACACACCGAGCTCCCTGAAGGGGTTTCAAGTCTAGGTTTGCGCCGTGCAGTCGATTGCCCCCTGCAGTAAGAGACTCTACAAGGGTTTAGGGTTTAGGGTTTAGGGTTTAGGGGTTCTGCTACCGATGGCTACTGTGATAGCTGCTGAAAGAATATGGAGTAGCATTCGCAAGTGTCGGGTTTGAGGGTGCTCCAAAGCCCAGGCTTTGAGAATAGAGTAAGAAAGCCCGGTGATCCACAAGGCAAAGTACATCAGCCAGAGACCCGACAAACCCAACATAGTCAGTCAGTAGTCTCAAGCATGGGATTAAGGGTCCCCTTGAACTCAAGCCCTTAACCCTAAACAGAAGGTGCCGTATCAGAACAAGCACTCGCAGGAAAAGATCGTATTTGGAGGCTCTAGAATCAGTATGTTGTGATATACTCATGCGAACCCCCTCTTTTGGCAAATATCCATTTGGCCCCCTTGAAGTCTCAACACTCAACGGAGTTCGGTCTCACAAGCACCGCTACCCTTAACGCCCTAGCCCTAAGCCCTAATTCCTACAGGCTGCGCGCCGTTTCCGCTGCTTTCCTGTGGATCTCTTTGAAGCACCTTAGGGTCCTATAGGACAGGAAGGTTCCATGGAAATGGTTGGGTGAACACAGACGTCCACACCTTCATGCAGGGGCGAACGGTTAGGGAGATTGAGGCTCAAGACGTAAGAGTCGCTCAAGACCCGTAGCCCAAGGAGAAGCACTTACTTAGATTGTCCCAATACAGCTCGGTTGGTGCCCTTCTTCCCGGATGCCATTGCCATGCGACGGGGCAACGCTAAAGGAGGAGGCACGCCTGCAGAAGAAAGTCTGGTGGTTCCAGACCGTGTTTGGGTGTTGAGAGTTTGGGGCTTGGGGTTGGTAAGTTGGTTTCGAAAGCTTGTTGATCCCTAAACCCTAAACCCTACACCCTGATTATGGTTGGCGTTACTTAACAGGGGCCTCGTGTTTTGAAGTGTTGGAGCGCATGGGCAGCTCTCTGGCTGATACAGGCAGTGTGTGAACGATACATAGTTGGATGCAGACGACACAACTCATTCCAGGTATTGTAAGTGATCAGAGCATCCACATCCTTGCAGTGTGGGTCCTGGGAAGGTTCTTTCTGTATGTATATATGACTCATTGAAGCGCTGGATTCAAGTTGAGTGGCAAATCTTCATCCCAGCACCCTACAGTCCCTGCAGCTCAAACCTACAACTCCAAAAGCCTACCAGAGGTAAGCACACGACGCATGGAAGTCAAAACCATGCGCGCCCCTGTATCTCAGCCTTCCACAAAAACTGTAGTTTGAGCGCTTCATTCCAGAACCTTGCCAGAAAAAATGCAACTAGGCACCGGGCAAGGTTTGTGCGAGCAGGAAGAGGTTTCCAACCATTCTGAAGTTCCTCTCTCCGGTTTTGAAGGCGCAATGTAGAGATCCCCCCTTCGCTGGTGTGCAACTTTGTTTATTGGGTGCCTTAGGCCCGTAAACCCTCAACGCCAAACCTTCCAGAGCCTCTCCTACCGGGCGAGGAGCACAGCAACCGCCCGGCGGACAGGTCGGTCGGTCCTCCGCAATAACAAGCTTAGGGTTTAGGGTTTAGGGTTTAGGGTTCAGGGTTCAGGATTTAGGGTTTAGGGTTTAGGGTTTATTCAGGGTGTAAGGCAAAGGGCTTATAGGGTTTTGCGAAAGGGAGCAGCATCAGGCAAGCAAAAGCCAGCGCTGTGACAACTCCTGAAGCCCTTGAATAAACACCTCACTCCTTCAACCTTAAAAACCCTAGAGCCCCTAAACGTAAACGCCCTAAAGCCCTCCAGCCCTGAGGCACTGAGGCCCCATAAGATCCCCAAAACTGAGCCCTTGCATACCCCAAACCCGAAACCCGAAACCCGAAACCCGAAACCTCACAAAGCCCTGCCGCCCCCCCCCCCCCCCCCCCCCATGGGTTTTTAAACCCTAAACCCTTAAACCCTAGACCGAAACCTCTGCCCCCCCCCCCCCCCCCCCCCGGCTATCAACCCTGATAGCTGAAACCCTAATCCTGGACCCTAAACCCCAAAACCCGAAACCCTAAACCCCTAAACCCCAAACCCTAAACCCTAGGGTTCAAGGCATTGTGCTTAGAGAGCCCTGCAGGCAACGAAGCTTCCGGGTTTGACCGCCACACAGTCTTTAGGGTTTAGGGTCGTGGGTTTAGGGTTTATGGGG